TATATTATATTAAATAAATTATTATTATAAAAGCTCTGTATAAATTACTAATTAACTTATAGTTATTAATCTACCTAGATTACCTAATCTTCCTGACTTGTGATTAAGAATGGTTAAAGTAATTACTTAATCTTAATCTAACCTTAACTATATGGTTAAGAGGATCTTTATATCTTAACCTGACCGCTAGGTTACGGTCAGGTTACGGTTAAGGTATAACAGTCAGGTATAACCACTCTACTTGTATGTATAATTTCTATAAAAAATAAATATTTTTATTTACTTATATAATATTAATATCTAAGAAACAAATACAGAGGCTGTTATTAGTAAACTTAATAAATTTAATAAATAATATTTTAAAAGTATTAACTACAGTGCTGTCTAGCACGAGTAAAAAAATATTATTAATATAAATAAATATAAAAAGATTCTTTCCTATAAACACGGAGTGATCTGCATATAAACACTTAAAATTATTAATTATTAAAAAATTATAAAATATATTATACTACTCGCGTAATACTTATTTTAAGCTAGATAATGACTTAAAAAATTTATTATATATATTATTTTTCTAGAAGCTATCCAGCAACTTAATATATATTAATTTACGTAATTTAATATTAAAAAAGGCTGTAATAATATCAAGATAATATAAAATCTAATAAAATTTAATAGCTAGAGTAATAAAAGTCTTAAAGCTAATACTCTTAATAATAATTATATATATTTCTTTAATTTAATAGTCTTTACTAGTATACTGCTAGAAGCCTTTAATAACAAGACAAGTCTTATAAATACTATCATACTTAATTTTAAATATTTATTTAAATAAAAAAAGACGCGTATTACAGGAACATAGAATTATATAAAAAATATCTTATTTAATTTATTTTTATATTTTATAATATATTATTTTATATTATTTAAATATTTTAACACAAGCCATAGTATTAGTATATAAAATAAAGATATAGCTAATATCTTAAGATATTAGTTTTTTAGTAAAGGTACCTTCCTTAATCTATAGATTAATTAAATATTATATAACTGTAGTTTCTAGAAATAAAATACCAATAAAATAATTATTAATAAGTAATTTATAAAAAATATCAGTATATATGTCCGGGTTATTATTTATATTAATAATATATAACTTTAAAGACTTAAGGAGGGCGCGCGAAGGCTTATAAATATATATAAAATAATATAAAAGCTATTTAATTACTAGTAATAGTTCTATACAGGAGATACTAGTAACTAAAAGATCTATAATAATTAGATAGTCTCTAAATTTATTATCTTTATTAATAACTACTGGTTCAGGTATAGTATTGTAAATAATATTATTAAATATAGATAAAAATAGAAATATACTAATCTATTTATATTTTAGTAACTAATCTGGTTTCTTATTATTATCTTACTCATCTATAGTAGAATAACTAGAAAAAAAAATAGAAACAGGCTACTAATATTAAAAAAATATATTAAATAATAATTAATAATAAGAATCTTCCTAGACTGGAGCTTCTATATTAGTTTTACTATAGTATATAAAATTAAAATTATATATAAATATTATTAATAATAATTATAAGATAAATTTTTTATTAAAAATAATATCACAAGTATATACAATCTGATAAATTTAAATATTATAGATTTTATAAACTAATTTAAAATATTTAATAAAATAATTTTTTTATATATAATTCTTAAATTTATTACAAGTCTTTTTAAAAATAAAATATTAATAATAATAGCTAAGAATTTTCTACTACAAGATATCTAATTATATTTTATATAAAATTTTATAGGAAGTTTTTCCGATAATACTATACATAAATCTATTCTATATATAATTAATTATAAGAATAATATAATTCTATAAGAAATAAGATAATTAGTTATCTACTATAATTAATATATAAGGTTCGATTAGATGATGGTTCTTAATCTTAGTAATAAAATTAAAATTTAAGTAATAACGTGGAGTAGAATCCCAAATAATACCTTATTCTTAATAATAAGCTATAAGTAGTTAGTATTCAAATATATTATCATTATAAATATATTTAATATTGATATTTAGTTAGCATTTAAAATAATTCTATAAAGTAATAAATTTATTATGTATCTTATTATATTCCTTAAATAAGAATATTTAATAATATTAGAAAATATAATTAATAAAAGTAATAAAGTAATATATACTAATTTAGCTATATATAAATAGCAGTCTATAAATATCTATATAAATAAGATCTCCAATATATAGATTAAGGTTATAAAACTTAGTATGGAAAATAAGTAATATTTAACTTTTTCTATAAAAATAAAATTTACAGGGCGCTAATAAAATATCTTTCTTAATATTAAAGTTAATAATATACTTAATAAAATTATAAATTTTTTATTTAAAGATATGAGCCGTACGGCAGTACATAAGATAGATTAAAATTAGTAAAGGAACTATCTTTTTAATAATATTAATAATAAGATTAAAGGATAGTAAGTATATTAAAGTATTATAAAAATATAGATTTTAAATCACCTTATAACTTATAGTATTAGTTATATATAAAAAATATTAAATATTTTTAACAGTAGCGAAACTAATCTATTTACTATTTTAAATAAAAATAATAATTTTTTTAATTTTAATATATATATAAACACTCTAGCGCGCTAGTTACTTATATAAAATAAGATTATATAAGAGTACTGGCGTGTATTAAATACAATTTATCTTTAAAAATCTATAAGATTTATTCTATTTATTTATTAATTTAATTAAAACAGTACTATAACTAATAATCTAAAAAATTTTATTAGTAGTGGTTTTAACCGTGCGTATACAAGAAATAAAAAATATAAAATAATATTTTAAATAAATTATTATTTTAATAGTCCCAGAGTCAAGCATCCAATTGTATGAGTAATTTAAATATTAGTTTTTTTAAATTATAGTAATAATATTAAAGTAAACTAATATAATATAGATATTAAAAAAATTAAAATTAATATTAATTATATTAGCTGACGGTGTTCCAGATAGTAGTATAAATAAAATAAATATAGTAACTATATTAGTCTAAATATTTATAATTATTTTTTTATTTAGATTTAATAAGTACTTACTTAGAAAATAATTTCTATAATATTTATAGAAGATATACTATATAGTATTTCTATTAATAATATTAAGTTATTCTCTTTCATACTGTACAGAAATATTTATTTAATTTTTACTATAATTATAAATATTATTATATTTATAATTATACTTATATCTACAGTTGCGACCACTACAATCACTATTTTAAATATTATTATTAATATTTTTAATATTACCCTAAAACTTATCATTAACTATATATGTAGTTAGCTAGAAGAACTAATTCTTATATATATATTTAAATTATATAAATTAAATATATATAAATAACAAGATTGCGTCTTCTATTAATATTATATACTAATTTATAATAAATAACTATAAAATAAATATATCCTAAATAATTATAAAAAACTATAGAAATTTAATATAGTTATTAATAATCTTAGTACCGCGAAGCTCATTAAAAGTATTTATGTAATATGTGAGAAAAGTCTCTTAATTACTTATACTATTATAGTAAATAAATACTTATTTATTATATAGATAGATAACTATAGTAAAATTAAAGATTTTATATATTTTTTAAAAAAAAATATATATTTTTAATATAGAGTCATAATTCTAGAAATATACTGTGAGACTAGCTTTACATATAATATTAAGAATTATAAATATAAAATAATTTAATTATTTTTACTTTTTATAATTAAAATTATATGTGGTAAATAAAGTATAGTTATATTATTTAATCTACTTAATATTATATTCTAGTTTTTATTAAATAGATAGAGCACTATTATTACTAGTATAAATAACTAGTATATATATATTTTCATCTTCATCCTCAGGATAAAGAACTAGTTCTTTTAAAAAAATATATTTACTCTAAAGTAGCTCCCACGCGTTTAGATTATATAAATATAAGTAATTTTATAGATTTCTTTACTATAATAACTAGTTAGCCTAGTCTTTAAGCTTAGGAATAGCTTTAGAGACATTAATATTAAATAGATCTTTAGATAGTATTATTATAAGTATTCAGCCACGCCGCTCGCGTGGTAGGAGATTTAGTTAGTTAATAAATACTAAGTCTAGATACTAAGCTAAGTAGATTACCATGGAGGCTTTTCTACCTGTGAAACTATATATAATAGTAATTTAAGATATAAAAATCCTTGAGAGAGATACTATTTAATAAATAATATATAAAAATAATAAAAAAGTAATAAAGAAAATAAATATTTAATAATTCATTACCACGAGGGCTCATAACCTGTGATAGTAATATTAATAATATTAAGTATATGTTACCTAGCTAACTACGCGAGGAGGAGGTGACTAGGTGGCTAGGTCCGAGATCACGTGATCTCCTTTCACAGGTAGTCCTCGAGTCGCTAGTTCCTTTTGACCGACAACGATGATGATATATGTAGTTGATGGGTATCAAAAGAAATTTGACCTTACAATCAGCAACCCGGTTATAGCCAGAGCATGTTATAGAAAGCAAACTCAAGTCATATTAGGTGCATAAAATTACATAATCTAGCTGAAGTATATTTTAAGATTTTGTAGAAAGTGTGGGCTAACGCCGAGGAGGGATGCCGAGGAGGGATGCCGAGAGGGATACCGGCGGGATGCCGACACTTTAACATATCAGCATTGATCTGTAAACAAATATTTCTCATTCTTACAACTATGCCTTCGATTTATAATAGCTTCACCTCTTTATGGACTCCCACCACCGGTGAACCTCTCAGAATCAGGTATAAGTACCTGGCATCGACGATCAATCTGCTCATCTAGCTCATATCGATCAACACACAAATTCCTTCCTTACTTAACCCATTCTCAATCAATTCAACTCCTAAACATCATGGCACCCACCCTCAACGTCACCCACATCGGCACCGCCACCGCCATCCTTGAGATCAACGGTGTCAACTTCCTCACCGACCCCTTCTTCTCCCCCGCCGGCACCACCTGGGACTTGGGCCGCGTTATCCTCAAAGTCACCGACGACCCAGCTCTCCGTCTGGACCAACTCCCCGTCATCGACGCCGTGCTTCTCAGCCACGAAGACCACCCCGATAACCTTGACGACCTGGGCCGGCAGCTCCTCAACGGCCGTCCTGTCTTCACCACCGTCGACGGAGCCAAGAACCTCGCTCCCCGGCCCACAGTCCACGGCATGAAGCCCTGGGAAACCATTGAGCGCGTCATCGCCGGTAAACGCTTCACTATCATCGCCACTCCGACCCAACACGTCCCAGGTGACGAGTGCACGGGCTTCATTGCGACCAGTAACGACCCGAACAATGACTTCGGCCACGACCCTAAGACCGGTCTACCGAATGCGATCTATTTCACGGGTGATACGGTCTACATCGAGGAGTTGAATGCCATTGCGGATCGGTTCCATATTTGTGCGGCGGTTATGAACTTGGGAAATGCGCATGTACCCACTACGGAAGAACCGGATAGTCCGCGCATGCAGATTACTATGGGTGGGAAGGATGGCGCGAAGCTGTTCCGGGCCCTTGGGGCGGATGTCCTGGTGCCTATGCATTATGAATCTTGGGGGCATTTCACCCAGTTTGGGGAGGAGTTGGGTCAGGCTTTTAAGGAAGAAGGGATTAGTGACAAGATTTGTTGGTTGAAGGGGGGCGAGATGGTAAAGGCTCTTTGAAGTCTCTGGGGTAGTGGTTGCGGATAGAATTGTTCTTGCTTTTGACTTGTGTTTCTTTTTAATGGCTTTGCGGGTGACTTAATGTATATGTGACAAGGAGGTCATAGAAAAGTATGCATTGATCGTTCTTCTTCCCAAAAAGCCTGTTTGCCAATGTAACTTCGTTCGCCATCGATAAGGATTGATATATAACCGAGAGTGTACCAGATTCCTGCTGTTATAGCGAAAGTATGTAATTTCTCACTTCGGAATGAGATATGCTCTGATTTGTGTACAAACCATGTGCATTATTACATAAGCTAGCTAGCATTAAATACGCACGGGTCGTGCCAGCAACGTGCTCCCTTCTTCACTGCATTCATCATGTCTCGATGTCTGCGGCCATCCTGCATCTTTCGGCCATCCAAGCCAGCTTCATTTGCTGTAGCCCGTCGTTTTTCCACCCATCACAGTACGATTGAATCCCCGGATCTATTTGAATACACGTCCGGACGCTGGATGTATGTTAGACGCCGACCTTCAGCCGTGCCTCCTTGACTGATCCCAATTATAGCTATAATGACGCGTTGAGACACCGTGAGAGGAAACGTGTCTTTAATGTTTCTGCGCTCAAACGCCTTGCGGCTCAATCCGTACGAAAGAAAGAAGAAGATGTGGTCGGTTTTGAGAAACTCGCCGAGGGAGGGTTCAACCGAAGCTTTTTAGTCACAATGCGGGACAGTTCTCGGTTTGTTGCCCGTATTCCGTATCCAATCACAGAGCCAAGTTCCTTGGTTATCGTAAGTGAAGTGGCTACAATGGACTTTCTCCGTTCCCACGAAATACCAGTCCCAAAGATCTATGGGTACTCTGCGACTCCAGACAATCCCGCGGAAACAGAATATATATTTATGGAGTTTGTTCAGGGAACGAACCTGGGTGACATCTGGTTTGATTTGTCAGAAAGACAGAGGGCTAAAATAGTGACGAATCTGGTGCAGCTAGAGTCGCGGTTGTTTGCTTTGAGATTCCCAGCCAGTGGATGTCTCTACTACAGCTCTGACTTTACAGACAGCAGTCGAGTCATTCTTCCCAGCCAATACCCTACAGATGAAGCCCGTTTCTGTATTGGACCTGATACCTCACTTGGGCTGTGGTATGGCAAAAGACTTAACCTGCCAGTAGAGCGTGGACCATGTGAGTACCTGCATCCGAGTTTGGCGAGGGAATTAATGACTGATGTATTACAGATAGAGACTGCTTACAAGCCCTGACTGCCGGTGCCACCAAAGAAATTGCATACCTGTCCGAATTTGGAAACCCCCGCCAGCCTATCCAACGTCTACGTAGGGAGACCTACGACTATCAGCCACAATCGCATCTCGATTATATGGCAACCCTGCGGCAATATCTACAAGTTGCGCCGAGCCTCATCCCTCACAGCACCCCAGCCCTCCATCGTCCAGTGTTACGACATCCCGATCTGCAACCGAACAACATCATCGTTTCTGATGAGCTCGAAATCAACGGGTTAATCGACTGGCAGCACACCACGGTTCTTCCCCTTTTCCTGCAGTGCGCCATTCCGAACAGTTTGCAAAACTACGGCGACGAAGTTTCTGAATCGCTTCAGAAACCAACACTGCCTAGTAATTTCCACGAGCTGGAACCGGAAGAACAATGTCACCAGGCTGAACTCTTTCGTAAACGTCATCTTCACTATTGCTACGTCAAAACAACAGCAGAGATGAACCCTGATCACTATGACGCATTGTCCCATGATTACAGCACGCTCCGGCGGCGACTATATCACCACGCAAGCGACCCCTGGGAGGGCGACAACGTGACACTGAAATCAAATCTCATCTCCCTGTCGAAACATTGGAAGGACGTTACCGGTAGAAAGTCTTCTTGCCCGCTTGTGTACCCCGAAGCTGAAGCCAATGAATGTGTAAGGCTGGCACACGCGCAAACCGAGGCGGATGAACAATTGAAGATTTGCCAGGAGCTGATTGGTGTCGGGAATGAGGGCTGGGTCCCGGTTGATCACTATGAGGAAGCCAAAGCACGTGAACAAAGACTGAAGAAGGCTGCCCTTGATGCTGCGGAAACTGCGGAGGAGCGAATGAGAATAGAAGAGAACTGGATATTTGATGACTTTTGCGAGGACGAATACATGTGAGCGGGCAATAAAATGGCTTTGCGTTGTTGTTTCAATTCGGTAGTAGTATCCCCAGGATCTTGATCTGATGCCAGATATTCATAATTTATTTGAGTGTTCCGGCTGGTGCAGTTATTGCTTTCAAAAATATGAGAGGATTCCCTGATATCATCGTTCTCGTCCTTTCTCCTACATTATAGTGGTTTTTCCTATCTTTCTTTCGTTCTGTGTTCTAATGGGAAAGAGAAGCCATAGCCTTTGCCCAAAACCGACCTCTAAAGCAGGGCTAGTGCGCGAAGAGCCCCGCTACGGGCCACTGGCAGGGAACTCGATTGCGACACGACTGTCTATCTTCCTGCTCTCCTCCAATCGCATTCAACAGACATTCTTGTCAGGTTATCGCGGGAAGTGAAGCCCAGCGCCTGCCATCATCAGCCGCACTTAGGTCGTAGGATAAACGCGGATAAACAGGTAAGCCTTAGTCTCATTGGGGCTTCATTAAGCCGTGACTCGGGTGAGCAAAATGACGGGGGTCGAGCACTCCGTACATGACTAGACAGGATCCTCCTAGTTGGAATTCAACGTATTGACTCTTTACTATGATTGTGTTATAGCACTCTAACTATGGTCTACCTCGCTGCGACTGGGGCCACGTCTGCGAACATGCATGGATGAGGGCATGTGATTGTTCAGCCTCGCCCGTAGTTTTACTTGGCAACAGCCTGACCCCTCATTTCTCTCTTTCTGGCTCATTCACAATAATATCCTTGTCATCCTTTAAGCAACACATCATTTAGAGAGTCGATAAAGACAGACCATTTAGATCACAGCCTCCCGGTAGGATTCCTCCCACACTCTATTGTCTCCATCCCCATAGCCATACTTTCACCACTCGCAAACTTCTCATCCCTCACCCAAGACAAGCTAAAGCGGGAAACATAATTTGTGAGCCTCTTCCTACCACAGACCTCACTAAAGGATCCCTATCTCTAACCCATCATCCTCTTTAGCCACACCCCATCCCCCCACCTCCACAACACAACACAACACAACCACCATGCCAACCGTCCTCCTCAGCAACGGCAACCCCAACTGCCAACGCTACGTCCTCTCCACCCAAGAAGAACGAGCCTGCGGATTCCGCTACGTGAGCGCCCAAGACACTATCGTCTCCTGTACTCAGGTCGTCAAATGCTTCTATTACCGCTGCACCAATTGCAAATACGCCTATTTTGGGAACCAGCATTGCTCGTGGGGCCATACCCCGGTTTCCTGGGAGACGTTGCAGTATCATACCCGCTAGGGTGGGGTTAGTTAGTGATGTATGGTTAGTTTGGGGTGTAGGTGTAGGGATAGTGGGATAGCACTTATCCTGATACTATAATTGGATTTCTTCATGATATTCTGTACCAGCAGACTTAGACAGGAAAGGCTATATGGTGTGGTGGTTCATTCGAGGTAACTTTGTCTTGGCGCGATAGTCACACCAATGCGCTGCCATGAGTCGCTCCCTGAGGCCTTATGGGATGCATTAGACCAGAATCCAGTTCGTTGATCAACAACAGCCCCTGGAGGAAGACCCCGAGGCTTTTGAACTTTGGCCCGAGGGCGAGTACACTTTCAAAACCTCCGAGGTTGAGGCGAAAGAGAGCATGTCTGGAGGAGCCACACTCCGTGGCCGTGCCGCTGGACTCCGGCTGAGCGTTGATGGTACCTGCACTCGGAGTACAGGAAGAAACCGAATGGAGTGAGTCAGCTGGAATGGTGCTCGACTGATTGAAGGACGCGACTGGAGAACAAAGAACGTAGTGCGCTTCATTTGATTGAGGATCGCGAACAGAAAGGTGGCATTGTGAGTGCTCTGCCGGCTGGCCTTTTGTTGAAATGGAAGGATGCGCAGAGGGTCGATAATTCCCGAGGCCGCGCGGGAGTTGCCACTGAATCCCGGGCCTCCTTCACTTCGAATGAAGAGGCTTCCGTAGGATGCCCGTGCGCCTATATAAAGGCGTCATTCTGCCGCACAAGAAGTTCTGCATTAAATTAGCCAAAGACGGTCCCCTAGTGCGTGATCATTAAAACGCAACGACCTTCTCCGCAGAGTACAATCACGCCCTCACAACCCTCAGATGTCAACCTGCGATAGCCTACAGCTGGTGTCCCCAGGGACGGAGGAAGGGGGCCATGTGTTAGTCTTCGCAAATCAATCACTGTCTATGGGCTGTCATGCTAACACAGGAGCGATCACATAGGCTCTGCCTCATTGGACTGGATCACGATCTCCAGTCCCTTCTGATCGATATCGCCCCTTGGGCTCGTATACTGCGCTTTTCAACCCCGGCTCCCACTACAGTGGACATCGAGAGGGGAGCCTCAGCATTTGTGAATGCTCTGCTTGAGGATCGTGTGCACAACAATCGGCAGGTAGACAAACCCATTACGCTTTTCAGATTCTATGGCATCTGACCGATAAGCAACTCACAAATGGATTGAAGGGGCCTCAAGCCTGCACTCCTGTTAGCCAAGGAATTGCAAGCATTATGGTAACGCAGGTTTGTGCCTCAACAATAGCTAGCCCTCGATATTGTTGAAGCTTACAATGTTACCAGGCTATAATATCCATGAACTCGGACAAAAGGTCCGACACCGTCGATCTCTTAAGGAACGTCTCAAAGTATACCCGCCCACTCCGAGGAATAACGCCCTTGTGATCCGACACAATCACCCTCATCCCAAGCGCCCGAGCCAATGTCTCCACACGCTGCCCCAAATACCCATAGCCCAGAATCCCGAGCGTCTCTTGCGGGCAAAGTAACGGTGGTTTCCCATCCGACATGCGGAGCCGCGGACGCAGGGACCCATTCGTCTTCCATTCGGTTTCTAGGGCCGGATCATCAGGAACGGCGACCGTGGCGGTGTGTAGTTCGACCAGTCCGTCTCGTCGCGAAATAGGACCCGATGACATGTTCGCTAACGCTGTCGACATTGGTTCCGGGACAATTGCAGATCGTGGTGCCTCGGGCCTTGCATGCAGGCCTGTCGACGCAGTCGGTACTGGATGCCATGATCACGATGAGCTTGAGTTTGGGGGAAATGGACGGGTAAAGGACTTCGGCTGATAAGCGGATCGTGGTCGTTAGGATAACGGTGACATCCTTGATTCGATCGGCGAGTTCTGATTGTGCAGTCCAATCATATTTGTCCATTGTGTAAGGGCGTGGTAGGTTGAAGGTAGGGATAGGGCAATGAACGGCTTCGATAGCGACAATGTGGTGGGTATCGTTACTCTGCGTCATGACGACGATTTAGAAACTTGAAATTTAGTGTTTGATGTTGTACTATTCTGATACTTTTTCTTATCAACTCCGATATAGACCGTGGGTTTAGTGATGGCAATCCATGGCTATTGGGATGCGTAAATCATACGCCCTTCACGCAACATGCACCGACGGCAGCCGAAGGCAACCGATAACACCCGGCCCAGCCCTAATTCACCGGATTTTACCCGGCAATATCGACACTGCCACAGCGCATTTCGCGTGCTTGTCTCCCAATGATGGATAATATCGTTATCTACCCCCCAGCCTCGAGCTGGAATCGTTCCGGTATCGCACCTATATGAGCGGCCAAGAAAAAGCCAAGCAAGCCAGCAAGCCTCGGGCCGGGGTATCGTTGGACCCGGGATAGTCGGCATGCTTCCATAGGCCCTGACAAAGGTATCTTCATGGTTAAAAAATCTTGACTTTGTCGACGAGTAGCTAAAATTGTTCATCAGAACTGGTCAGTAGGGGGAGGCGAAGGAGTTGGAAAGTCCTGTGACTTGATCAAGGCACATACTGTAGATGCAAACTCTAGGGGACAACGAGTAATATTATTGTCTGGGAGCAAGCTGTCGAGGGTTTTGTCTAGCGTATCCATCTCAAATCGTTCTCAATTCAAGTCAGGTTTTACTCGGAGACGATACCACGCTCCCCGATGGCATTTACCCGGTGATAAGCGCGGCTTTCAATCCCGAGAAGGGACTTTATAAGTCAACTTGCAACCTTGTGAATCTCATATCAGCCTAGAGATTGTTTCATTGATAAAGATTTTACCCGGAGCAAAAAAATGTCTGCACCGCAAGCATCATACGGTAGGCCTCAAGAAATGTGTCTAAGAAATCAATCTGACTGACTACTTTCTAGTGACTCTGGATGTCTTCTCGGAACAGAGGTCATTCTTCCTAGTTCCTTGATTACCTCCCCTAGAAAATTATTGACCAACTTTCAGGTTTCGAGGAAATCCAGTCGCGATTGTCAAGGTCCCCCACGACTAAGAATTATCACAAGACTAGAAACAGAGAATCGCCCGAGAATTCAATTTTCCCGAAACTGTCTTCTTGCACGCCGGCGGCAAAACTCCTCGGGTAGACATCTTCACCCCCGTCAACGAGATGGAATTCGCAGGCCATCCAATCATTGGTACAGGACACTTGCTCTTCCAAGAGTCAGCAGCTTCCAGCCAAACTTCAAACTTGACTGTTCTGACAAAGGCCGGACCTGTCCCGCTCGCCTATAACCGAGCACGCCGGCTTGTACATGCGACTGTGCCACATAATATCCACATTCACCAGCAGGAAGCTACACTCGATCAGATTCGCGCTGTGCAGCGTGGTCTGAATCCTGCGGCGGATCTCAACAATGTGAAAGATACACATCCGGTGGTTTCCATGGTTAAAGGAGTTACGTATGCTTTGGTGGATCTTACCGAGCGACAGGAACTGTTCGCTGCACTCGTTCCCGGGGAAAGCCCCAAACTTAACCTCGATGAGGGGTGGTCCCCATCCTTTACCGGCGTCATGTATTATCATCTACTCAACACCCGCGCGGAACGTGACAGTGATGTGATGGTCTGGGATCTTCGTGTCCGGATGATCGCGATCAACCTGGAGGATCCGGCCTGCGGAAGTGGGGGATGCGCGTTGAGTGCTTATCTGGCGCTAAGTCGTGGAGATGAAAGCCGGGTTTATCGATTCAATATCGATCAGGGCGAGGAAATGGGAAGAGATAGTCGGATCATTGTTGATATCTGCTTGGATGAAGAAGGACGTCGTGTGTCGGAGGTGAGGCTCGCAGGTCAGGCAACGGTGGTTGCAGAGGGGAAGATCTATTTGGATTGATGTTCTCAAGTACACCATGGCCTATGGTACAGGATTTAATATATCATGTTCGGGTAATGGTTCGTGACGATTCGACACGCGTTGGGTTCAATAGTACGATGCCGGCTCCTTGGAATATATTCTTCCAAGCTAGATGTATAAGAGACACAAGTTTACGGTTGCTACGCATTCCGGATCTAAATATCAAATGAGCTCTTTATAGCCCCAGTCAGAGACATATGCTTGTAAGTAACCAAACTGGTTACTGAATCCCTCAATATAGGCATGTTTCATGCTCAGATCTGTGGTCAAATTTGGCGTGGGAACCGCCATGGCCGGCGCTGCACATAATGTCAGTGCCATCAACCTGCCACTCTCTGCGGTATTATTACTCCTGCTCGTGCTGTTCCTTCGCGTCACACATCCACACGGCACGGGGACCATCTGGCAGCAGCTTCAACGGGTGAACGTACTAGGCAATACGAATCTCACAATGGCGGTCGTAGCAATTTTGCTAGCCCTGACCTAGGCCGGGACCGCATATCCATTGTCTTCGTGGCGGGTTCTTGTTCCGCTTCTCTTAGGGCTCGCGGCACTGGCTCTCCTTTACTGTCATCGGGCATCGCGCTTCTGTTCGGAACCTTCCCTTCCATTTCCATTGTTTTCCAGCACGACCGCCCTATGCGCCTTATGGATATCATCCTGTAGAATATGCTGCTCTACTCGGCCGGATGCTTCCTGTTCATCTACTTCCAGATACCTCTCCACCTTCACCCTCCCAACGGACCGCTGCTCACAACAACCCAAGGCATTCGCAGCTTAACTCCCATGGCATCTGGCATCCACGTCCTGCCCATCATTGTCACCATTGTCCACTTTATCATGCTCACCGGTATTCCAAGCGCTGTAACTGGCAAACTACAAATCTTTCACTTCGTAGTCTACACCTGCTTGACAGCCGGCACAAGCCTATTACCTCTCCTCTCCAGCTAATCCCCCGCGCGCGACAGGGCTAGATTCCAATTTCCTTTTGCGGTCGGTTCCGGTATATTATCACCCAGCACCCTTCCTCCCAGTCAATCTACATTAGCGGAATCCGACGTAGCCACGACCACATCAACCTGGGCGTTCGTGCGCAGCTTTGGATGCATCTGGGGGGTTGTCACTCCGACTACTATGTTCAACACACGAGTCCAGGCATTGCTGTATCACGTGATTGGTGCCACTTTAGGTGAGCAGTTGGCTAATGGGGGTGCGTATGCTACCAGCGATGGGCTCATGCATACACTCAGGGATATACCGACACTAAGGCGGAAGTGCTTGGGGTTTATGAGGACAGTTTACAATAGGTGTGGTGAATGGCGGTGCCGTATGTGGTTGTCGCATTCCTTCTGCCTATTTCTATCAAGCAGTCGTTGCTGAGTGAGGAGCTGCGTACGGAGTTTGGGTTGCAGGTAGTGGATATACCAGGCAGCAGCCAAGCTTCACCGGCGCGCCACCAGGGTAAGCATTGTTTTCATGACCACCGATTTATAATCTGGGTACAATATCTGGGACTTGGGAAGATGCAACAGGGCAATCAAGGGTGAAGAGAGCATATCATTCATGAGATGACTTTGGAGTTGTTTGCCTATTTTTTCCAAAGGGAATATTATCAATTGAGGCGCTTACCGAGTCAAAGTGAACATTCAGTCGACACCTGAGAGCCAGTCAGTCATTCTCCAATATCACTCTCCAGGGTTCTGACATACAATCACGTTATCCGAACCAGCCGTTTCGTACCTCTCAAAGGCCACGATGATGATTTCTATTGGTGACCCCGCCTACATGACTCACCCTTGCTCATCATGGATGTCCATCGCACCCGCCAGCTATAGGATCTAAACTGTGGTTGGTTAGTCTCTCGGCACCTGCGAGTCAATCAGCGTCGGAGCTCCGGTTGTGCACCGCATCCTGCAGTCAGTTCCCAAGCTACTAATAGGTGGACTTCCCCTCTTCCCCTCGGTGATTACATTCTGCTCACTCAGAGTTCCAGCAACCCAACATGTCTGAAAATCGTAAATTCACCCCAGAGTATGTTCACCACTTCAACCACGCGCCATCTGGCTGTACTGAGTGCTATTCCTCCCGTACAGAGTTTTGGTCACTGCGCCCAGAGTGTCCGCAGCAGTCCCGAACGATGAGGGGAAGCTAGCGCTGTATACCTTTTCGACCTACGATCTCGACACGCACACAGACTTTTCCGAGGTCAAGTTGCTAGACTTGGAATCAGGCAAAACCACTCGGTACAGCAATAACCCTAAAGAAAGTTCCTTTCGCTGGCTTCACAAAAGGTCACTTCTGTGGCAACGAGAAAGTGAAAAGAAATCCACCGAGTTGTGGATTGGAGACGCCGACAACACCAATCGGTATGATCCATCGCCGTTCTTGCGCGCTTAGGGCTAACACAGACAGTCCATACCTGGCGGGCACCATTGACGCCAAACTGAGCGATGTCAAGACACACCGTCTCGAAAACGGGGACATTGCCCTAGTCTTTACAGCTGCAGCCGATGCCGACCAGAATCTGTACAACGCATCGAAAGAAGAAAAGTCCTATACGACCGCCCGGGAATGGACGCAGAGTCGACCCAAGCGATGGGATACCTATGTCAACCAATACCGATCGGTCATTTGGTATACGGTTCTCAAGTTCGATGAGACTTCGCAGAAGTGGCATCTATCTGACAAAGGTCCTACCAACGCTCTGCGAGGAACAGGCCTCGTGGTCCCCTTGTATACCAACTCGTCCAGCTCCGCCGATCTTGACATCTCGACGTACGGCATTGCCTTCGCAACCGCCAAGCCCGGGGATACAGAATGGCTCCAAACGCAGCGCTCGCTATACTTTCTCCCCTTGTCGACCTTTGAGGAGACTGAAGTGCCAGCACTGAAACGGATTCACATTCCAGGCCATGCCGACCTTGTAGAGAGTCCCAAGTTTGCCCCTAACAGCCCGGTAGCTGCGTTCCTCGTCGCCCAAGACAACGAAGAATGGTCACCCAAGAGTATCGGCCTCCTCAACGTCGAGACTCTGACCATTACATTTCTCCGCACAGTCGACTCCGCCGACAAACCCCAACCCTGGGACGTCTTTCCCGACGAGATCCTGTGGTCAAACGACGGGTCCTCGCTCTACCTAACCGCCAACCACCAAGCTCAATCGCGGGTTTTCCAGATCCACATCCCGCCCACCCCTTCCGAAACAGAACCCCAAACCGTCCTCCCAAGAGCCCTCACCATCCCCGGCTCCGTCTCAACCATCTACCCCCTCAGCACTGGCCCCTCCGACCCCCGCCTCCTGGCAACTTCCTCCTCCTTCATCGACCAAGGCACCTTCACCATCATCGATCCCACCTCCCACACCCAACCCCCCCAAACCCTCCACAGCACCTCCTCCCACGGCGCCATCTTCGGCATCTCCAGTAGCCAAATCACCTCCATCACCTTCCCCGGCGGCCCGGACACCCGAACCCCCATCCAAACCTGGATCATCAAACCCTCCTGGTTCTCACACAGCAGCCCCGAAAAACACCCCCTTTTCCTCTTCATGCACGGTGGTCCTCACTCCGCCGTCAAAGACGCCTGGACCTGGCGCTGGAACGCCCTCCTCCTCGCCGAACAGGGCTACATCGTGGCGATCCCCAACTTTACCGGTTCGGATTCCTTCGGGGGGGATTTTGCCCGCGCCGTGTCCCTGCAGTGGGGCGGACATCCCTACAAGGATGTCGAGCGATGCTTTGACTGGGTTGAGCAAAATCTAGCTGAGAAATGCGATATTGATCGCGCCGTGGCCGCGGGCGCCAGCTTCGGCGGATACATGGCCCTTTATGTCGCGGGCCAACCGCTCGCGAAACGGCTGAAGGCCCTGGTCTGCCACGATGGCGTCTTTGACGTAGTATCCGAGCTATTAGCCGATGATCTGGCCGAGAAGCAGGAACTGACGCGGTCGTTCGGGTCGCCGTATTTCACCTCCGCGGCGGATGCCAGTCGTGATCCGGTGGCCGCGAAGGAAGTCTGGCGGAAGTGGAATCCGGCGGAGTATTTAACGAATTGGGCCACGCCGTTACTGGTCATTCATTCGGATCGGGATTTTCGGTGTCCCAGTACGGCCGGGTGGGCGGCGTATGCGGTGTGTCGGTTGAAGGGGATTGAGACGCGCATGTTGAATTTTCCGGATGAGAATCACTTTGTGCTGGGGAAGGAGAATAGTTTGGTTTGGTGGAGGTCGGTGATTGCGTGGTGTAATCGGTTTGTGGGGGTGGAGGGGGGGCCCGTGTTGGAGGCGGCGAGGAATGAGCCGAAGTGGTTGGGGGAGGTGGTCGAGGGGAGGGTGGAGGATGTTGGGGATGCTGAGAGAGTGTCCTAGGTGGAATAGGTATCCGTGAGAGCTGAGAGCCACGGCGCTTTGCACGTGTATAACGTTGTATTTAATCTCCCGGACCGGGACTAGATGACCTACAACCTGTGGTGATATCCTGTTCAGGGGAGGAATTGATCTATACATACAGCGTCGCCAGTGATGCGCCTCATTCGGACAAAGTGGGCAAACGAAACCTACGTCCGGTGATGCCCACTGGAGCTAGTGCGTTCGAGGCCGCTCTCCCTCTCAGCCTTACGGGTGTGGTTGAAGGGCCCATGTACCACCACCCCGGCTGCCCATATGGAGGTCGCGAGGTTCAAGGGAGACTGTAGATGAAGAAACCGATCCCGGAGACAGGCAATGCGACCCCCAGACAACGGCTACTTCCATCGGAATGCTACGCAAGGAGCTAAGGGCATGATCGTTACGTGCCCGGCTGGCTCTGTCTCGTCCTATGTTGGAGGCGCCGTACGACGACGGGACGGAGAACTGCTGCATACTTCCTATCGCCTCCCACCATGGGCAGGCAGTCACGGTCAGGTCGATTCCGCTGTCCGTACCCGTGTTAGCCAACAGTGCTTGTCCGTTGCATTCTGGATAGAGCCAATGGACGGCTGGGAATGGCGGGAATGCCCTCGGTTCTCTTCTCCGAGAGGGAGCTGGGTCGATACCCAGAGGCTATGATATCCCATTCTTTTGCCAATGCGCGCCGGGTTAGTTGTCTGATGTTGACAGATGACAGGACTCGGGTCTCAATTCCCACGCGCGATTACGTGGAGGGACCCAAATACGAGTCTCGTCGTGGGCCAGATCTACCGCATAGGCGGGCGGTAGCTGGGTCCCGCGCGAGCCTGGCGAAGAGACCACGACTTCTCGGCGTCGAGGGCATCCCTGGGTATTAGGAAATGCACGTCATGCGTAAGGCTAGCGTGGGTAGAGCACTCCTGCTGGGACCGGCGAAGTATCGTCCCTGCCGACGTACTCTAGCGTGGAGGCTTGATGGAGTCATATGATGATACATTGCCTCAGCAAGCAGATTGGCTGCGTTGGTTGAACCGGCTGAGCATGGCTAGACAGACATACGTCTGGTTGAACGTGCGTCCTGGACATTGCCAGTGGGGAGTATACTCGCCGCCCGTCCCCCTTCTGTCCTGGGCTCCACACGGTCGTCCCTGTTCATCATGCAATGGTCGGCCCGCTGGGACACATCAGATGGGGCAGGCAGGCAAGGCTGGACGGTACCTATGAGTTGTGGGAGGTCCCCGTGGAGCGCATTCGGTTGAGAATGTGATGGATGTGGGGGATGGTGACCGTCAAGGCATCTCTTTCCAGCCCTCCATACATTCCTGGATCCACCTCCATAAGCTGGGCGAAGCGACAAACATGTCTGTCCGCAGTCGCTGTGGTGCGTCGGCGGTATATTGTGCTTTCCATCCCGACATCAACGTCAGTTTCTTGGCTATTGTCTTCCTGAGTTCCTGGTTTTGGAAGTAGTCGTTTTCATCCCTCTCAATCTTCGCAAGTGGCTGGTCCTCCTGTTGAACTTCCTTGTAAAGCCGGATGTAGTGAGGGGAGCGCCGCTTTTGTGAGAAGTATGGGCCGATGCCCTCATGCGGACCATGGGCAGCGCGCCAGACCCTAGCGAAGAGCGAATAATCAGCGATTGAGTCCAGATTGAGCAGCCGACTCACGTTCCAGGAGATTTGACTCCGCTCGAGTGCGTCACGATATCTCCGGGTGGAGCGGTCTTCCATCGACCCAGGCATCGCCGCGAGGAACCCGTCGATGAAGGATTTATGTAACTCGGGCGGAATTTCGTCACGGTACTGTGGCAGCCCCGGGACAGTTAGTAGCATGGATTCGGGGATGGAGGACGCGAAGGCCCAGTCGATGACACAGGTGATGTTGTACTCATCATCAACGTAAATGTTGTTGACGCTCAGATCGGGGTGACACAATGGAAACGTGTCTGAGTTGACGGCCGGGAGGGGACATTTGCGCAGGATGTCTCGGAGAGCATCACCCGCGATGATGTAGTCTAGTCGGTTGTCCGACGAGTCGGTCTTGCGGCCCACGGTCACAAAGTCGTTCCATAGGTCCACGGCCCCCTGAAACTTGATGCTGGATTCGTAGTCTTCCCGTGAGGGAACGGGTGCCACAAAGCAATGATGGGATAGCTGCAGAATCTCGGCCTGCTCGGTGAATGCAGAGACCAGACTGTCATGGAAATCTACCTCGGACGCGAAAGGCCCCCGTGGAATGTCCAAGCAGTATCGTTGATGTAACATGTGGCCGCGGGAGAGACATTCCTTGATCTCAAATGCCGCGTCGGCTTCGAAGAGAGAGCCGATTTTGTCGAACCGCAACTGCGATAGCTTCCAGGTAATGCCACCCAGCTGAGAGAGAACCTTGGCTTTGGCGGGAGTCTCAAGGCTTGGTTGCGGAGAAGTGGCTGGTCTCCACGTCTTGGACAGGGGCCGGCCGGGCGCTACGCTCATGAAGATGAACGGAACCCCGATTTCATTGTCGGAAGAAGCACTACGATGGGTTACACGGGAGAACAGTGCGATGTCAGCGGGGTGTCGTTACCAATAGTCGTATACCTCGGGAACGGGAATGTCGCTATGAGACTTGAGGTATCGCAGAGTGGCAGCTTCGCTTGCGAGTAGCTTTTGCCCCATCTCTATCGGCATGAATGTCCGCGGATGTGGGGCCCGGAATACCCAGCGGGTCCCGTCTTCAAATCGAATGAAAACGGCCCAGTTGAAGCTGCCAGAAGCCGGACGTTGATCTGGATCACAAACACATGGAACGCCGTGGCGCAGCGTGCTCGCTCGATGGCACAGAGCTTGAAGGTCAAAGGTGGCATAGGTGAAGATATCGGGTTTCGTATCCGAAGACATCTTGGAGGACGGGGGTGGGAGAGGAAAGAATCATGTAAAGGGGTGGAAAGGGATATATAACAGCCCCATCCAACGCGGTGACCCGAATCGAGCCCGCGCTCACCGCTCCAGTCATGATGCACATCAACCACACTCTCCGCCTACCGCTCTCAGAAAGGCTTACTTTTATCACTGGCAGAATGTTTACCGCTCTGCATTCCTCATGCCTGAGGCTGCCGACCTCATAGATACTTCGTACCTCCGGCCCTGGAGTCGTGCCTAAGGTTTTATATGGGATTTTTCTGGGATATTGAGGTACTTTCTTTTTCTTTGTTTTTTTTTCTTTTTTTTGCCCCTTGGGGGGTGGAGGTGTGATAAGATAGTTTAAAAATAGTCTAGCTATCAGGATCAAGGCCCTTAAAGTGATGTAGGCTGAAGAAATTTGGGAATTGTTAAATTGGAGTAATTAAGTTGTTATTCTATACAATGAGGCATAATAGACTAACTGTTTGAAAGGCAGATGTCCAGATATCACGTGTTGGTACTGAAGGAGTTAGTTTGCATAGCCATTTGACTGATCACTTGACTAACACGGAACAAGCATTGAAAGTCAGAGGCCATAGTCGTTCTAGAGTTTGTCTGGTTTGTTCAAGCAACCATTTTTCTTCTATGGATTTCTAGTGCAATGCTCGACTAACTATAGTTGAGTTACTAAGTTTTACTAATCATGACCGAAGTACTGTGTATGATATAGGTATCGCATCAGGTAAGACCGGCGTACTGACCCGAACACATTGTACACACCCCCCCAGCTTTAATGCGGGTCGCTCAATAAAGTAATGATATTAGTGTCTTGACAGTAAGACCGAAAACCAAAAGATATGTGTTTGTTGGTCAAGCCAATTTCGAGATCTACTGTACATATTCTCGAAAGCGGCTACATATACCCAAAGCGCAGTATGACTCAGTTCCCGTCTCATAGTCTATCAGGGAAAGACCGGCAAGTGATCCTTGAAGAGTAGCATCTATCTCCGCATCATGAACAGGAACTAATCGAGACATGGTCTAGATTCTCAGAAGTAATTGAAGAGTACAGCTAATTTGCTGTTGAAAAAGTAAGTGAAGAGTACAATGATTTTATTGGGTGCGGAGAGGTTTATATGTATGGGTGCGCCATATATGTCCCTCTTGTACGCAATCAAACTTCTTCTATACATTTCAAAACCATCCGACAGAATAGTGAATTTTTTGTTACTCGAGTGTACTACCGTGACCGGAAGTCAACGAGCGGTTGTCACAAGTAATATGATGGCCTACCTACCTCACTGCTATGAGGGAGGGTACTTCAGCTTCCAATTCGGCATTCAATACAGATGATTGTTGATTTATCATTCTGTAGAGGTAAATGAAGACACTATCAGCTACATTAAATTGGCTTAGTAGCCCAAACGTCCATCCGCATTCAAATGAAATATAACATCCGCGAACAGCTGTGCTGTAAGCGGCAACACAAAATAACGACGCATAAGGAATATGTGGACCAGGAAGGAGAGTCAGTCAAAGAAACTTCAGTCCGGTTTGGTGGTAAGATCAATGTCCAAAATGTGCCCATTGGACTACCCGGTGCTGTTATCAGAAACCCGAATTAATCGCTTGGATTATCTTCTGTCTTGATCGAACTTTGGATATAGATCAGCTGGTAACATCTTGCTTCCACCTCTCGTCCAAACCTCGAGATGATTTCTTCGACCATCATGCTTGAGAACAGCGCTACCTTCATTTTTTTTCACCACTTCGATGATATCTTTGATCAATTTGACCAACCTTCCAAGATCATTGGCATGGTCTTTTTCCCAGTCACTAATCTCAAGTGCGACGTCTTCAACATCTGGTGGGCGAAAGACGCCGCCTTTGTGGTACGCACGGACAAGGTTGGGTGTTTGAGAAACCCATAGTTGTGGAAGGACTTCTTGCATGCGGATAGGCTTGTGTAACAAGCGTGTTTTAATCTCAAGAATTGAATAGACTGGAACCTTTTTGCCTTGTTTCATGGTCCCTAATCTGGTCTCAGTGGGAATATAAGATGATTTGGCGGGTTGGGCAAGAGACAAATCGCTCATCATGTTTAGTAAGTCTTCATCTTCCGACTCCTCTGGATGTTGAGGCCTCGGAGGCTCAATATAAGCGTCAGTTTCGTAGCGTACTATAAGCTTCAAACCGCCAAAGTCGTAGGAAATAATTCTATGGTGCCCAGTACTGCCCGCTATCTGAGAAGTGGTGAATGCCTTCTCGAACTCATGACCGTAACCCTTGAATTGGTGGGGTTTAATGATATCTATTGCTTTAGTTTCGGCCCGACAAAAAATCGCTGTATCATTCGTGACCTCAACCTCAATGGTGAAAGGTTCGAGTCCATGTTTAGAGAGTCTCGGATTGATGAATTCCAGAAGTTTGCGAAGGTTGTTTCGATCGGTTATCAGGTCAATTGCGCGTATATCGTAGGACGGATTTTCAATGAACAGCGAACGAAAAAGCGGCTCAAGTGGTCTTTCAGGATAGCGAGCTGCATTTTGAGCGACGTAAATGAGCCCAGAATCCTTGTCTACCTTTTTGGGTGATTTAGGTGGAGACCAGAGAGGAGGACAACCGGGTACGGCAATTGTTGGGGTTGGCGATTCGATCCAATTATACGAGGACAAGTGTTCCACATTCGTGATGGATGGTCCTACACCCTTAACATCCGTAGATACAGGACGATGAATATCTGCAATTCGAAAAGAAGCCATTGTCATGAATTGCTTGAGGTGTTATGTCTAGGTAAACGAATACTGACTTTGATTACACAGAAGAGGTTATAAGGTGTTTACCCCGCATTTGAACAACGCATACTTGCATACGCTGGCCAAACTCTGATACTTTGTCCCTGAGAGGGGAAAACTCCATCTGCCAGAGTAATAAACTAGGGCATGCTGGATATTGGCTTATCTGGCAGAAGTTATATTTTCGGTACTTGACCAGATCAATTATAGCGCTATGCCAGCTGCTGGCAGCTGCCCCAACCCCCTCCGAAAGCTCTCTCTAGGAATTGCGTGGCACTGACTCTTACTCCTTAAATAAATGCGGTCCCTTTGTATTGCTTAGCACTTTGTTTCGCTTAATTCATGTCTACTTGAGGCTGGCAGACTGCAGAAACATAGGCGTCGACGAGGCAAATCTCGTCAGAAAAGTAATAATAAATCTGGCGTGGTTGTCATGAGCCAGGCGCAACGTTCAGGCGATAATTTGGGTGACCCGCTGGAATGTTCTGTTTGTGTCTATCAACACCGCGTTCTTCCTGAGTTCAGGTAAGACTGTGTTTTCAGGCTCGAGCTATTTTCAGCTGGGGTCGTGGGTCCTCAAAATACCATAACAAACAATTCAAGGCCAATGCCGTTATTACTAGACCAACGTGGCGGCCGGTTGACGCTTCAGGGAAATATCTATAGTAGGAGCAGTGAACATCCAAAGTGGACCCCTAATACAGCATTTTACGTCTGAATGCGTGTCCCGGTTTCTCTAGGTTGCAGTGCCATCCACCGGCAGTGCCGGATTTCGCGCAGAACGATCTCGCTGTGAAGATTGCATTCCTCGCATCTTTCAAAGCTTGTACTAAAAAGCCCATGAATAAACCTGCCACAAAGGCGCTGTCCAAAGAGCTTTGTTCGTAACACGAACCTTGCCGCGTGGAAAAGTTCAAATCATCGGATCAATTTTCATCCGCTTTGTCATCCTGCTGGGGTCTAACTAACTAACTACCCCTTCCCGGGGTTAGTTTTTCATATGTGTTGTCGTTCTTCATTCAGCCCTCGCTTTCAATGATGACACCCTTCTCAACAACCACTCATTAAAGCCATATCGGACCCGGTCGACTATAAGGCTCTGTTTTTCAAAGCTGACGAAGAAAGAAAGAAAGCCGAGGAGGAACGGAGGCAGGAGAAGATACTGAGAGAGCAGGTAGAAACACGAAATCGTTAGACTATCTTCGAAGAATTCATTCAGCACTGTCATAGTCTTTTTTCGAAGCCTCTGAAAGCCGGAGACCCTGTTTAGTCTACCACTGGCAAGATTCCGGCGCTTACTGGCAAGTACTGCCCTCTACGACTGGAACCTTGGACAGAGTGTGCTGTTAAGCAATAAGAAACCTATGATCTGGTCTGTTATTACTTAAAGTTATTGGGTAAAGATACACTACGTCTGTTTGCACCAGTCATTGAGTTGGAGAGACTAGGACACTATTTCGCACGTTGACTTTTGAGCAGCGAGAAGGATCTAGAGAGCTACGAATGTTTTGCTATTAAAGATTACGTCTATAATATTATCTCAGTGCTGTGTGAGATACCGAATGCTTAAAAGAAATTTAATCTAGAGGATGGAGTGTGGTTCGACAACCATGCCAATATTTTTAATGAAAGTTTACTAGATAAAGCAAATTTAGAGAAACGACCTGCGCGTCCTAACCAGTTCTGTATCTACTATATTAATAAAGATACCAGGGCTTTGTTAACTATAGTTAAGTATAAACCACTGTATAAACTATCAAACAAAAATCTTAGGATAGAACCTTGATTGATGAACTTTTACTACAAGATTATTGAATCAGAAACAGTTCCTATCGACGGATTGGAAAAATTAATGTCAGCTGGAATTTCCCAATTCATCAACTGGCCAAATTCAGCAAGCCAACTAGCTAATCAAACCGCCAATCGGTCATCTCCGCAGGAATTGGCCATCTCCGATAATTTGACTTTTACGGGCTGGTTTCCCAGCCAACCAAGTGAATACTCGTGTTTTCCCCGCTTATATGAAATCATTATGATCACATTCACTTAAAAAACTTGTTTTACCCCACTTTAACGTTACATTACTCAATTTTACCTCGTGTTCCAATGATTCCATGACTTTATTTATTTCAAAGCATCCTGATCTAGTTAACTATTTACTCTTGTGTTTTCGGCCTCACTGCCCTACACTCATTGGCTCTTTCTCAGTGCCACCACACCCATTATTTGCGAGTCACATGATGACAACACAGCATTGCAGGGCTGAAAGGCACGTGAATTCCGCGGATAAATGCTTATAATAGAACCTAGTAGGCACATCCTCTCGTGAGCCCCTGCAGACAATTACACTCATTATCTTCCAAAGGCCGCACGCCTCAATGTATGATGGAAACCAGCCTAACCTACGAAGATGCTAACCAAAAATCTGTGTATGCTGCTTAAGATAATCAATGAGGTATGAGCCTTTGCTCTAAATATTAATATTCCATCTAGCCATGAGTCACAACCTCAACGGGTAGGACTGTTCTCAATTTCGAAAGGTTTCCGCATCTGTTTGACTCGAATACAGTAGATTGTTTGCCGAGACGCCCCTCAGCATTCGTGTTGGCAGCAACAAAAAACTTTATTATGTTCATCCTAAGGCACTTTCATCGTCCTCTTCATCGGCTCTTCATGCTAGAGTCACCGGGCCATGGATGAACTGCGGGGATGGGGAGATCGATTGGACTGACTTCGATGAACAAACAATTGACTGTGTTCTGAACTTCTTGTACACCGGGGACTATCAAGCAGGTCGAATTACTCAAAGGCCTGGGGAACAGTCTCAACAAAGGGCCACAGAAGAGTCTGAGGAAATAGAAAAGGATAAAGAAATACATGGTATGTCTTCTTCATTCGAAACAAGGAAAGCCACTAAAGAACTGCAGCTTCTCGGCAGCAATTAAAAGAATATGAACTTGCCTATCGTTCAATCCATGAACCATTAAGCCCCATTGAATCCTGCCTTGATTACCATTTGCCTTTCGAGGACAGTCCCGTTAAAGCGGTTACTTTATGTCAAGAGACTCTCTACGAAGACATTCCGAATGAGCTCCTGCTTCATGCAAAGGTCTACTTATTTGCCCATAGATATCTTCTAGATGATTTAGCCGACCTTTCATTACGATACTTGCAGCAAGCACTCATTAACCTTCCAAAAAAGCAGCCTGACTTTCCCCAACAGCTTGCGGATGCTGTTTGTCTCATATATACTGAGACAGCCACATCTGAGCTGCAGGAGAACCCTGGAAGGAAACTGCTCTCCCAATTTGTTGCACTGAAATATACCGGGCTCTACAATGATCGCCTCGAGAAGCTCTTAGCTGAAGGAGGACCGTTTACAATCGATGTATCCAGAAAGCTTGCCCGGCGACTTATGAGCAGTCCTCTGGAAGAGAGAATACAAGAGCTTTCGAATTCCAATGAGTCACTACGCGCCGAATTAGCCGATAAGGACCGGGAGACAAAGGCACTTACCAGAGAATTGCACAATCGGGCTGTCTGGAATAATAATTTACCCGTTCGAGCAGTGTTCGGCCAGGATCGATCTCGATAGGCCGTTTGGAAGCTCATTAGGCATAGACAAAGCACTCTCTCTCTTGCTGTCCGAGGGCCTTCAATACTACTTCGAATTCGAGATTCGGCTTGCACAAATAGTAGTACAAAGTTGAGCAGTCATTGGGCACCCGTAGGAGCATAATCCCAAGCCCAGTAGTCAAATATGGGTACTCCAGATCTTCTTGAATCAATACATGGTATTCCTGGATAATTGTAGGGCCGGCAAGGCGAGCAGCTTTATATCCTAATATCTCTGGGCCTTCGATAGGAACTGTTTCTGGTTGGACAATCTCGTGGTAAAAGTTCATCGGTCGGAGTCTCGCCCTAAGATTCTCGTTAGACAGTTTATGCGGCACTACCGTAACCCGACTACTAGATCTACCCAATTCCGCCGACTTCTCCTATATGCTTCCTCAACCATTGAGGTATAGTAAATTTTTTGTGGATCTCAGGCTTGTAGGCTTAACTAGATCTGACCCAACGAATTTTGGTCCTGAAGCCTTTCATGAACCTGTGCCAAGCTCGGCCACGGGAAGGTTGCAGTCGCGCGGCTGACAGCACTCTTTAATCTTTTGATAACGCAGGGGACCGTAAATAAGGTATAACCGCGTGTTTGACCAATCAAAGCAGTCGATGTCGCCGCGTTGGGCCACGCGTAGTCTTATCTTAACCGGTCTGTATCCATCGAAAGTGAAGTTGCTACTTGATTTTATTTTACTTTTTGTAAATGTCTTGCTCTGATTTAAATTAAGTCCGACTCATTGTCGTATGTCATTTTGATACATGTCAAAGCTCCACTCACAAGCTCAGAAATCCCTGGCCTTATTCAAAGCAGCCTCCGAGAAAGGAGCAAAGTGCAAGATTCTGATCAAACAGTGGCAGCAGAGGAGAGAGAAATACGACAGCGAAGTCCCAGTAGCACACGGTCGACCTGCCAACAATGCACTAGACGAAAGTGTAGCCTCTTTTTGGAAGCTTCCGAGTACTCCAAATTGTGCGAAACAGATATCGCACTGGTTATTTGCCTGAAGCCCACTAGGCAAGTCTTTCAGTTTCAACTCTGATAGTCAATGGCATCCTTCGTGTGACGAGTTGGTAGGTAATGTTAACCCACACCGGGACCTCACTCCTAATTTTGCTAGGACACCTGCTACTCAGACCTTGAGAAGAAATAAATTGGGATGAGCTAGCCAATATGTTTGAATGTGGGAGACTTCAGTGTTAGGTCATGTGACGGCAACCCGCCAAAATGTTATAATCTTAAAGCGGGAGAGCATAACGCGCTTATTCGAATGTGACAACCCTGATCCATAGATCTCAGTCGAGCTATAACAGTAAATCAAGGTACTCCAATTACCAAGCAAGCAATTGCAGTGGATGGGGGTTGCCGCAGCGATAGGATGGAGTAGAATACGACCCTCGGTCAAGGTGGGGCATAGAGGAACACGAAGTAGAAACATTTTAGTACAGCGATGTGACTGTGAGAAAAGAGATACTTGCATTGCATTGAGATGCGATCCACGATTGTACGGAGTGAGCGCCCAGAAGAAGCATCCCTTTAACCTATTCTAAGCTACGAGCGACAAACCGTTCCAGCTGAGCCAAGCAACCGTGCCCACGACTTAGAAAGGAACACATTGGCATATCCTCAACATGTTGGTAAAGCGCCGATAGTTTAGGGAATTCCTTGTCACAGTTTGGGCATTTATAAAGCCACCAACCATCCCCGAAAACGGTGTATTTTTGGTTCTGGTGAAATTCGCCAGCAATTCTATCAATCTTCCCCTCAGTAACGCCTGAGGCGCAACTTCCAGCCTCCAAATGAATCAACATTCCAGAAAAGGATTTAAAACTTCGGTAACAGCCGTAGCATTCCGTGGTTCGGGCTTGGTGCCTTTGCTGGTGCTGAAGAGACCATGCTGTTAGCACTATCAGAAAGAAGAGTTTCACTATTCTTAGAGTTACCATTCGTAGACTATTCTCATTGCTAAAATAGATATCGCATATCACGCAGAGATGGTGCTGGCTGATGTCATGTTCTTGAAGCTCTATAGCGGACTCATGACGAAGATTGCAATCGAGACAAGCGTAATGGATTTCTACCTGATGGTCTTCGAGTTCTTCAAGAGACTCAAAGTCTTTCGGTTGAGGACAAGATGAACAGACATGGTGTCTGTTAGACTCTCGTAGATGCGCAAATTTAGATGAGTTCGAAATGAACACTCGGCAGCACCTTTCACACCACTCATGCAGTGAAGTCTGCCTGCAATGGGCATAGAGCGCATCGGCGGAAATGAAAGCCCTTTCGCAGATCAAACACTCGTAGTCCACCCCATTGTAAGCAAGATATGGACCTAGGCCCATTTTTGGATTGATGCTGTATAGGACGTCAGATGTGACGGAGGTTGGTGGGGCTTGCGGTCTGTTGAGATGAAGTGGATAAGGAGCCCCAAGAGGGGCTGCCACGAATGAGACACTCGCTGAGGCTTTGAGCAGAGGTTTGTTCTTATTGGCACAAAGGCCCAATAAACCACCTAGTTAACTATCAGCTACAGCTTATGTAATGGGCTAGTGATATTAGGAAACAGGAAGCGGGCTAGCGTAGGATAGGCCCGCTTGAAGGCAGGGTTGCGTGGCCAGCCCGTGACCACTTTTACCCCGCTTTGGGTGATGAAGCATCAGGAAAGCTAATCTTTGTTAGAACATTGCTGCACTTTCCACGATTGAATAAACGACGCAAGCATACGGAGGCTGAGGATGGCTACTGATTTCAAATATCTAAGAATTCTGTTGTCAGAGTGAGCTCAAACCTCCACATAATCGAATGGTATCTGACTCATGAAGTATTCGGAAATATGGAACATACTCAGATCTCACAATCCTCTGCGAATCTTCCATTTTCAGAGTGCATCGCTGTATTGTCTGTCCCCAGTCGAACTTCTTTGATAAGGCCATAAATGGCCGGTTTCAGGTATCAAAGAAATAGCTTGTATCTAGAAAACCTTTCTTACAGATCACAGGAAGCCACAACGGGACAGGTCGCGCTCGAAGATGACCCACGGATCGTTGCGAAGATGATAGACTATCTCTACTGCGCCGATTATGAAGACTGTTATGAGTCCTCTATCAAGGAATCAGCTCAAGGCTCTCTTGAGCTACCAAAGTCAGAGGAAGAGCAAACCGAAACATCAAGTATCGAAAAAATTGCTGAAAGTGCTGAAAGTGATATGGCTACAGTCTCTAGCTCCCCTGTCAAAGAACGAAGGGCACGTATCAATGCAGAAATATATATCCTCGCTGATAAATATCAGATTGAGGGACTAAAAATATTGGCTAAGCAGAAGATGGAGTCTTGCCTCCAGTCAAACTGGACAGATACAGAATTTATCAACACAGTTCAGTATGTCTACGGGCCAAACAGCCCTTCCCACTCGGAGTTGCGAGACATTCTATCAAGATCTGCTATTCAGCACCTGTCAACTCTTGAACACCAGCAGCATTTCCACGAGACCTTGAAAACCTTTACCATGTTTTCATACGACTTCTCCTCCCTGATGATAAAGAAAGTGCTTCAGCTAGAACAGGAATTGTGGTAGGCATATGCCTCCCCGCCTAAATCAATCGTGAAACCTGAATAACCATGTCTGTCAGCAATAGAAGAACTACCCAAATTCTGTGGCAGCCGACAGTCATGCATATTCAAGAGAGAAGCCGACCACACTCTAATGTCTATTGCAGTGTCTGTAAAAGACACTTCACGGATAGAAGGGCTCTTCGGCAACATGACACTGACAGTCATTATTGGTGTACAGACTGCAGGGTGAGCTTTTCATCGATTAGTAAAGCTCGATCACATCGTGCAAATCGTCACGGAGGGTTCTAAGAGCACAGCTGAAATGCGTAATCTCAATATATCCTTGTGATTATTTCAAGTTATGTACTGTCCTTTTGAAGCATATTCTATTATCGATAAATGGAAGATGGTGCAAGGAGAACTCTGATACATAGTGAACACAAGCGTCGCGAAAATCCGCATTATGTTATTAAGGAGGAAATGCATATTATGTGAATACTGAGGGGTATCTCAAAAATAAAAACAGAAACGATCACTTCTGGGTCGCAGGAGTCATCCTATCTAGTGGGAAGCCCTAAGAGGGGGAATTATATCCTCTGGGTGGAGGTTTCAGTGTGGCCGTCGGGGATGATGGGATCATCTGGTTCGTCCCGTGGAAGCAACGACTTGATGCCCCTGTTACTCGTCCGCCTACTGTTCAGCCAATCGTCGTGCCACGCCCTCCACGCCTCAATCATTCTATGACTGCATATCGCACTATAAAGGCTCACACAAGAAAGAAAAGGTGGTCAAGAGAAGGACAGAGATACCACGTTCAAAATGCTCTAATCTTGAGGGTCGAACTCCAAAATACTCGAATGGAGCCCTGGCTCCGGCCCGGAAATTGGTCCGAAAAAATCCTTGTCACATCCGACCAAGGTCGTTTCTCGTCCCTTCTCAACCTCAGTAGAAGGTTTGCCTCTTCAGATGACCACGGCTTGCCTTTCCGGGAGGCTCCACTGCCCTCCGTAAAATCAGCTGGCTGACCCAAGCGATGTGCCGGCCGTACTATGCATTCAGGTGATTTTGAATCGGATCCGGATAAACAGCGTAGCAGTGCACCTTCGAACAGCCACGAAAGAAATTGCCAGCGTTCATCAGCCGATACATGTGAAAGGAGATCACGTGATCTCGGACCTAGCCACATAGTCACCTCCTCGCCTCCTCGCGTAGTTAGCTAGGCAACACACACACACACAATATCATCAATATTGCTGCCACAATACAGATGTGGAGTGAGAGCAAAGCGATGAAAAAGAACTATTCTCCGAGGCGGTGACGGAAGAACCTCTGGCCCGTTTGCACAGTTGTGGTTGTCCATGCGACTGTTGCAACTTTCGCTTGCGGCATTTTAACTGTTCGCCGCTTGTTGGGACCTCGAGGGCGTTGCTGGACGCACGAGTAGGGGAATTGGGGCTATCGTCGGCAGATATCTGTACGTGTGACTGGTCGTGTAGGGTGCTGTCCGACTGACAATTTCCTTCCTGCACTTCAGGATATGCGTTAGAGTTTCTTTTCTCAATATGCATGTCGCAGAGAAGTGATGGAGAGTCAGAATATTGACAAAACATTTCCGAAATGACGGCATCGCCGTCCGTATGGATATGCAGGCGTTCATCTTCTATCTCCCAGAAGCCATTGTTGGTAAGGATCAGTGGGTCGATCAGAATACTATTCTATTCATCTGCCGGTGGGAGGAAATCTTACCAAGTCTAGTCCAAGCTGGATACACTGGGTGACGATGTGCAAGTCAAGGCATTCTCTGGGAAATAGAGCGCATCAATCGAGGCATCAATAGTGTTGACTCCGCGTAACGTGGATGAATCCAGCGGTAAGGTTAAACCAGCTCCATTTCTCATAAACTATTCCAGCCGCTCTGCGTGCTGCGTGCCAGATGATGTGGCGGGCATAATAGCAGGAATTATAACAGGTATCGTGGCAGATATTATAACAGGTATTGTAGCAGAGTAAGGCTTAGATAACTTCTATGACTGAGACTGAGAGCCCCAGAGGATGCCAGATAGCATCACGGCACTCGAATGAACACAAACCTCAGCTGGAGGCCGCGCCGGAAGCTGATATTTAGGAAATGTAATCACTTAGGGAAGGAGGGACTGAGGAAGTTTAATGACAGGGGACTCATCAGAAGGAGGATGTATGCGTGAGTGCTTGGAGGAGGATTTCATGCAGAATTGGGGATTCAATTTTTTAAGTTATCAGCGTGAAATACAGGTAACATATTAGAGTGAGAGGTGAGTGGGAGAATCTGGTGGAACATAGGTACGCGAGGATCAGGCATAAGGTAGGAATGAGGTTGGAGCAAGAGAAAATATGCAAGTATTGAAGGAAAGCAAGCCTCCATACTGTTATCATCGGGAGCTCAATCATCCCTTCTTATACTTTCACTCATCAGTAATTTCTCTCATCACTCCCACGTTACACATCGCAAGCAGGTTTTGTCCCTGTTTCGGTTACTCCTAGTTCAGCCAATGTTCTAACCTTTGGTCGATTTGCCCGGAAATTAGGATAGCGGTCTTCACCAACCACATCAGCCTGCTGCCCCCAAGCCTCGCGTTCAAAATTCTTGGAAACAAAAGCTTTCCAAAAGCTCATGCAGCAATTTTACTATTAGCCAGCAGTCGAGGTGAGAGTATACGCTCGGCGGGTACAGAGAATGGTGGGTCAAAGCTCGGCCATAGATGGCATAGGATGCGATGCTGGTCAGCTGCGCCCACAGACCCGCGGCAAGGAGTCAACAAAAAAAACAATTCCAACCGCGCGAAAGATTCCCTGCTGCCTCACTCGGAATTTTACATCCACGTAGATGGTAGAGACTTAAAAAACGGGCTGGACACTACAATCAGAAAGAGATAAAGCAAGAGAAACAAAACATCCACATTCACTGCCCATAGCAACACAAGGCGCGATTCACCGTGATACCACGAACACAAGTAGCCTCAAGATGGCCACTCGCTATAGACTGCGCATAAACAGGGAAGAAATGGATAGCTAAGATACCAACAGAGCAATAGTCACTGATAGGTCGAGCTTTCGGCGACTCCGATGCTAACTAAAGCAAGAAAAAAAACGCGGACAGTGCCATACCGAAAAAGAGCAGTGTTCGGATAATACGGCATCATGGGAGGGAGCCAGTGTGCCCGGGAGCAAGGCAGGCAGCAGGAGAAAGAGGATAAGAAAGTGTGTCGCCTTTCGAGGGAGGGCAGACAGGGTTATATAGGTCAAGCGGGGGGTTTAAGGCAGCAGGCGATGGGCGCAAAAGCGGCGAGAACACGGGCGCGATCCCCAAAGCGGACACGCTAGGCCTTAAAGGGTAGTGAGACTTCGGCATAGGGCAGGCGGTGGAAAAGTGGCAGACGGACGGTTCAATGAGGGCCGTTTTCAGTGCCCCGCTAACCGTGTCATCGTATACTAGAATAATTATAAAAATTATAAGATTATTAATAGTACTTATAGATTTTTTTATTTTTTATAGAAGATGCTTCAACTGCCAGGGTCATTTACCAGTACGCACTTGAAATATACCTATGCTTCTCTCCCTCTGTGACCCACCCCAGGGAGGGATACCTGTTCAAAAGTACAAGCCGGATAGAGGACCACCCCACAATTCGAACCGATATATTAAGTTACCTGGTAACGCACCCCCCCC